TCATTGGCATCCTTCAGTCTCAAGAGACTATGGTGTCGTGCTCTGGAAAGAGGTCCTAAAACAGCATCTGGTGTGACTAAAAAGGCCAATCCGAGAGTGGCAATCCCTTCCACACTGAGGGCAGATACATTCTGTCCCCTGCCCAGCCCCCAGATTTCGCTGGTTCCGGGACTGCCTCTTTGCCTCAGCCTGCCGAACAAGTGTCTCTTCGAATTGGAGAAGGCCATGCTGTGTCTTTAGCCTCCAAGCTGAACGATCGGAGGTCAAGGTTTCCCAGCTGTTAATGTCCATTCCCAGGGCCTTTAGGTCCCTCTTGCAGATATCCTTATATCGCAGCTCTGATCTCCCTCTGAGGCGCTTTCCCTGCACTAATTCTCCATACAGGAGATCTTTCGGAATCCGACCATCAGCCATTCTCACCACATGCCCCAGCCAGCGTAGACGTTGCTGTTTCAATAGTGTATACATGCTAGAAATTCCAGCATGTTCCAAGACTGCGCTATTTGGAACTTTGTCCTGCCAGGTGATGCCAAGAATTTGTCGGAGACAGCGGATATGAAAGGTGCTCAACTTTCTCTCTGTCGTGCGTAGAGGGTCCAAGACTCACTGCAGTACAAGAGTGTGCTCAGGATGCAGGCTCTATAGACCTGGATCTTTGTATGTTCCATCAGCTTCTTATTAAGCCATACTCTCTTTGTAAGTCTGAAAAATGTGGTGGCTACTTTACCAATATGTTTATCCAGCTCAGTATCTAAAGAGAGAGTGTCAGAGATAGTTGAGCCGAGCTACACAAAATCATGGATGACCTCCAGTTCTTGTGCAGAGATTGTAATACGGGGAGGTGAATCGACGTCCTGATCCATGACTTGTGTTTTTTTCAGGCTTATTGTTAATCCAAAGTCTTGGCAGGCCTTGCTAAAACAGTCCATAAGTTGTTGAAGGTCTTCAGCAGAGTGAGCAGTGACGGCAGCATCATCAGTGAAGAGGAAATCCCGTAAGCATTTCAGCTGAACTTTAGATTTTGCTCTCAATCTAGAGAGATTAAAGAGTTTTCCATCTGATCTGGTCCGGAGGTAAATACCCTCTGTTGCAGTTCCAAAAGCATGTGTTGTGGCTCCGTTACCGGAGCCTGTGTCATCAGCAGGAGAGGACTCCGAGAGTGAAGGAGAGGAGTTGGCAAGGCCTCCCTCTCCAGGACCTTCCTCTCTGGCAATGCCTTCGGTGTCCGCCAAAGGGCAAGAGATAGGGCCGGGGCCAAGCACGTCCACGCAGCCACAGGTGGACAGTGATGAGAGTAATGAGTCTTGGCTGGATCCACACCAGTGTCGCAGAGATAAGCACGCGCAACAGAAGAAAAGGCGTGCCCGAGATTAGGCTGAGTCACTGGACCACACCCCAAAGGGTATAAAAGGGAGCGTGGTGGGCAGTCAAACCTTGTGACGAACAACGCTGAAAGCTTCCACACCATTCTGCATTGCTGGACTTTTGCTATAGACTTTGCTGGATTATCTTTGGACTTGATTGACTCCGTAATTATTGAGCTGTTTCCTTTGATGTACCAGAAGCGGGGAGAAGTTATCTCTCCTCTTCGTAAATAATAAACTCTTGGCAGGCAGCCACTAGGTTGTTGCCAAGTTCCGTTATCTTAAGGAAAAGGATTTTGCCGGTTGGTTTGGTCTTTAACTCTTGAACGTCTGTTGGTGTGTGTGCGTGTGGGATGGGGACAGAACAGCATGTTTCAGCATGACAGCAAAAAAAGATCCTGAATAAAATTGGCGTGAGGACACAGCCCTGCTTCACTCCACTTCGAATATCAAAGGAATCTGAAGTTAAGCGATTAAAAACTACAGTGCCCTTCATTTCCTCATGAAAGGACCTGATGATGTTGAGGAGCTGAGGTGAACATCCAATCTTGGGGAGAATTTTATAAAGAATTATAAAATTCTTTATAACAAGCACACCCATGTAGATATATCTGTGATGGCGAACCTATGCTAAGGTGGCACGCAGAGCCCTCTCTGCTGGCACACGTGCCATCACCCCAGGTCAGATCTCCATGGCGTTTCTTTCGTGAGCTTCTGTTTCCCTGCAAATGACGAAACAGAAGCTCATGAAAGAAAAAGATCTTACCTCTTACCGTGCTGGTCAGCTGGTCTTTGGGTCTTTGCAGGCATGCATGTCTGCAAATGCGTGCATGTCCCTGCATGCGCACATTCACACGTTTTCACATGCACACATCCACACATGTCCACTCGTGTATGTCCACATGCATGTATGTGCATGCACATGTTCGTGCACATCTGCACATGTCTGCATCTTTCCGTTTGGGCATGTGAGCGTGCACAGTTTGGGCACTCAGTGCCTAAAAGGTTCGCCATCACTGTCCTATCTCCTCCCATTTATGACTTATGACTGTGACCTTATTGCTGGTATCCTTTAAGATTTATATTGACTGTTTCCCTATGACTATCATTAAGTGTTGTACCTTATGATTCTTGATTAATGTATCTTTTCTTTTATGTACTCCAAGAACATATGCACCAAAGACAAATTCCTTGTGTGTCCAATCACACTTGGCCAATAAAGAATTCTATTCTATTCTATTCTATTCTATTCTATTCTATTCTATTCTATTCTACAATTCTCAAGCTTCAGCCTCACTCAGGAGATTAGAAATATATATAATGTATTTTCTTCACAGTCTAGCATGTCTTCTTAGTTTTTGTAAAAACAACAAACTCTGTTTCCCACAGGTTAAAACTCTACTTTTTAGATAAAAGATAGGGGCTCTTACATCGTATGTCATATTCAAATCTTTCACAATTCCATGATTCTCTTGGTCTCATACACACATACAATGCACACGAGTCTCTTTCTCATCTATTTTTTCCCCCCAAAGCAAATAACCTGAGACCTGGGTTTGCACAATCTGCTGTAGTGGACAGAAGGCTGTTCACGCTGGCAACGGAGATGATTGTCATTCTGCCATCGGTCTCTTTCATTTGCAGATGAAGTTTTTTTCTTGTCGGCACAACTGAACCCATCAGTGGCGCTGCAGTCGTTCTGTAGGAAGTTAGCACCCACCCCTTTCCAGGAAGAATGAAATATTTTGGGAAATATTAAAAAGGCAGAATATTATGTTTCCCTGGTTGAGAAATGGAGAAACATGTTTTAAAGACAAAGCAACTCCCACCTTCCTGCCTCCCCCCTTTGTTAATGGGCCAGAGGCAGAAACTCAATCTTTGACAATAGGACCCATCTGCAACACAATAGGACAGAAACTCACCACATGGCACCTGAGAAGATTACATCAGCCAGCAAGGCTAGCTAAGACCCTCACACCCTGGGAGTCTGACAACCAATCAGGATAGTCTTTCGGGGGCCCTAGGAAGTTCAAAGCCAGAGAAAGCATATCGCTGTATCTCGTTCCTTTTCTGTTCAGGAACTCAAGCCATGTGATCCTGTCCACCATTAAACCATCTTTCCAAGCAGTCTCCATGTTTCCAGTGTCTTTTTCCCCACTTGGGAGCTGAACCCAGAAGGATATTTCTCCCTACAGTTCCAGGCAGAATGACTCAAGTTTGATAAATGCTTCCCAGACAGTAAATGCTTCCCAGACATGATCGATTTTAATCTGGCAGAGCCTACTAGACGAATTCAGCTGTTGGGTTTGTAGAACTGGGTTTAGGACAGTGTTTCTCAACCCCGGTGGGTTTAAGTCAGGTTAGATGTCATCTCCCAGAATTGCCCAGTCGGCATGCTTTGCTATCTGTGGGCTTCACCCCCCCATCCCAGAATTCCCCAGCCAGTATGCTTTAGTTAGTATATGTATGCTTCAGCTCCCTGAATCCCCCAGCCACTATGCTTTAAGAGGATGGGCTTCAGTTCCCAGAATCCCCAGCCACTATCTTTAAGAGGATGGGCTTCAGCTCCCAGAATCCCTCAGCCACTATGCTTTAAGATGATGGGCTTCAGCTCCCAGAATCCCCAGCCACTATCTTTAAGATGATGGGCTTCAGCTCCCAGAATCCCTCAGCCACTATGCTTTAAGAGGATGGGCTTCAGCTCCCAGAATCTCTCAGCCACTATGCTTTAAGAGGATGGGCTTCAGCTCCCAGAATTCCCCAACCACCAAAGTTGAGAAATTACCAGTTTAGGGTCTTAAACATGTTGTACGAATCAGGTAGCTTCAGTACCTTATTCGCAAGCACAACACATTTCCCACCACCGCTCATTTTTACAAGCCAGGGCTGATGTACACCAATCCATTTCCCCTAAATCTTCCTCGACTCCAGCAGTTTTCCTCACCACCACCGACTCCAAGGCATCTATTGTGCAGGACGTTGCATCTATATCAAGGGAGCCCAACCCAGCCCAGCCTGGGAAGCCATTGGGGGGGTGGGGAACGAACCCGGGAAAAGGGAGAGGCTTTTTCCTTTGTGAGGGGGAAAAAAAGGGGGGGCTGAGGCCCCTTCCCCTTAATCCTCCCCCACCTCCCCCCTCAGTCTGTTCCAATCTCGGTTTTCTTTCCTCTTGTTCTCAATCCTCACCCACCACCCCTCTCCGTTCCCAAGCCCAGCCCGCCCTCTTCCTTTCTTGAGGAGAAAACGGGGCGCTTTTGGTCACGGCGCGCGCGCCTTTCCCCGCGCGCTTTTCTCCGAGGGGGGGAACCCTCCCAGCTCCCCCTTTCCCCTCAATTGGGCCTTTCATCCCCGGCCCCACCCTTTGGGCTCTCCTTTTGTCCTCGCGACAGCAAGTCCGCGAGGGAGAGGGAGGTGAGGGTGAGGGTATGTGTGCAGGAGACCCGGGGAAGGGGGAAGGGGGGTTGTGTGTGGGGGGGGGAGCCCAGCCAGCCAACCCGCCAGCCTGGGCGAGCGCGAGGGCAGCGGGAGGAGGAGGAGGAGGAGGAGACTGAGGCGAGGGCAAGGCGAGCATCCCCAAACGCTCGGCGCGCGCGCCGCCGCCATCACACCTCTCGCCCCCTCCTCTTTTTTCTTCTTCTCCTCCTTCTTCTCCTCCTCCTTCTTCCCAACCCCCCCTCTGACGGCCGGCCGCTTTTTCTCCCCGGCTCGCCCTCCCCGCGCCCCATTTCCTCGCCAGCCGGGCGCAAGGATGGGCGGCCGAGGGGAACCGCCGCCGCCGCCGCTGTCCCTCTAAGCGAGGGGGTGGGGTGGGAAGCCCCGCGCGGCCACAAGAAGCCGGCGGGGAAGCCTCGGCGCTTTTGCCCCGCTGCCCTCGCTTGGGTTTTTAGAAGTCGAAGGCCAGCTAGGCGCCCGGCCGGTTCTTTCATCCACCTCCTCCTCCTCCTCAGAGTCCTCGGCGTCGTGGGCAGCATCAGCAGCATCCTCCAAAGCGTATCGCCGCGCGGCCAGGCGTGAGGTCCGCGGCGCCGGCAGCGCGGGGCCGTCCCTGCATGGGGGGTCTGGGGTCGCCCACCTTCCTTCCCGCCGGCCCTTGGAAGAGAAAGCGGCGGCGCCGCCGCCGGCGTCTCCTTCCCTCAGCCTCCCCAGGACTGACGCCTAGGTCGAGAGCGGAGGATGGCGCTTTGCAAAGGCCCGCGCACGCGGCTGCCGGTGGGCGCCAGCGCTCTGGGTTTCCTGGTCCTTTACTGGCTCTACATCTTCCCGGTTTACCGGCTGCCGGACGAGAAGGAGATCGTGCCCGAGGTGCTCCGGCAGCAAGGCAGAGTTTGGCGGAGGAACCTCAGCGCCGCGGCCGAGTTCAGGTGAGCTGCGCCTCGCCGCTTCCTGCGGGGAAGGGTCGCGCCGGGGTTGGGCAAGCCGGGAGACGAGCCCTTGGGGCCGCCGGCATCGTCGATTTGACCACGCGGAGTGGGTGGTGGGGGAAAACTATTCAATTCAAATCTTTATCGTCAATGCACAAACGTATGTGCAGTGAGATTGGTGGAGGTCCCTCAGTGCATCCCCACCACCCCAACACAATACAACTCACAGCTCACAACTCACAATACAATACAACTCACAGTGAAGACAGAAAATCCCTAACCCAATAAATCACATGAACGAAACGCCCAGTCCTATTGCACCAGTGTGAACATGTTACTAGTCCTCAAGACAGAGCATGCCCCCCCCACCCCGCCTCCCCTCTGGCCGGTGTGCGGCGCGCTCGCTCGGAGCCAGACAAAGAGCCCCGAGTTGCGCAGTGAATCTTGAATGGCGCGGCCGCTTTTTGATGCTTTGAAAACGCGCGTCTCTTTGTCTAAGGGCGCCCGTTTTAGGAAGATCTAGCTCCCTCTCTTTGGAAACCTCTCGGCTCTTTTGGGAAGGAGCTTGCGAGCAGGGTTTTTAAAAGTTGTGTCCTTGCCGATAAAATGCAAGGAAGGATGAAGAAAGAGCCTGTAGTACAGTGGACTAAAGCACTGTTATTAACAGATTAACATCTGCTGCTTGCAATTACTGCAAGTTCAAATCTCACCAGGCTCAAGGTTGACTCAGCCTTCCATCCTTTCAAAGGTAGGTAAAATGAGGACCCAGATTGTGGGGGCAATAAGCTGACTTTGTATAAATATACAAAAGGATGAAGGCTATTGCTTAATGCATTGTAAGCCGCCCTGAGTCTCCGGAGAAGGGCGGCATATAAATCAAAGCAAAAAAAAAAAAAAAAGATCCTCTAAGTCTTAATAAGGCTAAAAGTCTTTTCTTAATGACTTTTTTTTTAAAAAAAAAAAAGGTCTAGGAAAAATAATTCTCTATTTCAAAGGGTAGGGAATGTTTCAACCGTTTTACTCTACCATGGTTTCAATGTCACATTTTAAATTATTGGGCTGTTCAGACAATGCGCACCGGCTGGTTGGATGCAATGTTGCATAAACCTTCTAAGCAGGTCACGCCCATCCCAGTTCAGTATGACTTTGCCGACAATGGTGGTGTATTTGAACAGGAGGGATTTCACTTAAGTTGAAGAAAAAAAACCTGATGATTTGAATGCATGAAATGGGGCCCAGCAGATTTAAACTGAGCCTGGATAGCTCAGCAGACTAATGTATTGTAATTTAACTCCAGCTGTCTGCAATTAGTAAGTTCGAATCTCCCCAGGCTCAAGGTTGACTCAGCCTTCCATCCTTTCTAAGGTAGGTAAATTGAGGACCCAGTTTGTGGGGGCAATAAGCTGACTTTGTATAAAATATACAAAAGGATGAAGGCTATTGCTTAATGCACTGTAAGCAGCCCTGAGTCTCCGGAGAAGGGCGGCATATAAATCAAATTTAAAAAAAAAAACAACACCATTAATGCAAAGGTGGGGTTGCCTTAAAGAGATTCATCCAAAGATGTTTTTTTTTTCTTCAAAAGGCAACTGGACTTTCTTTTTCCTTGAAAATGTTGAAGAAGCTTCTTGGATGAGAAGCCAAACATCTTCAAAGAAAAACAAGGAAATCCAGTTGCCCCTTGAAAAAGCACCTTTGGGACAACCATGACCTGGATGACTGAGAATCTCCATAGATATTTAGCTAAACTTATTCAGTTCTTCTGAAAAAGCCTCTTAGATGAGAAGTGAAATGTCTTCAAGGAAAAACAAAGAAAAGTCAGTTGCCTTTTGGGAGAAAAAAAAAAAACACATTTGGGACAACCATGACCTGATGACTGAAAAATCTCCATAAACATTTAAGAAAATTCAGGTGTTCTGCAACACTCTTATGCCAGATTGCAGGAAGTTCCTGCTTTGATTTTTAACATGTTATGCTTCTCTTACCCAGTTGGCTGCATTTAAACAGTTAAAAAATCCCACTTCCTTTCTGAGACACAGGGTAAGCTAAATTAGTAGTGTCTCTTTGCAGTGAAATCTGTGCTTAAAAATTATCCTTCCCTTTGTGCTTTCTTTTTAAAGAAAGCTTATTTAGCAACCTTTTTTGTAGATTAAGCAATGTACTATTTAGATGATTGGTTTAGTTGGTGAGATACAAACACCATCTTTCAGAAGAGAATCTTTGTAGCTCAGGATTGAACCATTGGTGCTCTCTGAACTTGGTCGTTTGCTTTGCAGTTTCATTAGGTCGGCAAGCAAACAACAGAAAGCACCGAGGACTCCACAAATAATTTTTTCCTTGCATTCTCTCCATGCTAGGAACAGTCCCGAACATTTAGGATTGAGTCCATGTTGAATAGAAAGAACCGGAAATCTAGACCTGTGAAGAGCCTTTCTGTTCAAATGTTGAGACAAATATTTAACTTAGATTATTGAATTGACCTTTTTCTGAATGCAATATATTGAATCGTAAATTAAGCAAACAGCCTGAGTTGGTATTATGTGCTAATTCCCATCCCACCAGTTCCCTTCCTTTTTTTTTATTGTTGAAAAAAAAAATCCCCTTTAAATTTTCTGTAGCTGTGTGTAGTTTCTTACACAGTGTAGTTTCTTTACGCACTGTGCTCGCAAATCCCTATAGGCTAGCTCTTTGCCTGATTTAGGATATCCTGTGAATGCAGCTGTAAGATCTTTAATTGACTTAATTTAAGCTTCAACCCTAATGATGTTGTGTTTAAGGTTAAAAAGAGTTCAGCTAAATACTGATTAAAATCACTGCATTTCACTTTCGCTGCTGTTAATTTGTAGAGCATAATCTGTGCTTAGTCTCTGACATGGGAACATAGTTGTAATATAATTATATAACACGCAACTACTATCACGTCTGCATCTGTCTCTTGGATGTTGGTTCACATATTTGCTTTTGAATTCAGCTTTTTGTTTTCATGTCTTCCACATAGAATACAGATGATGTATTTGGGGACAGTTATCTCTCGATGTAGGCTTATACAGGTGGTCCTCAACTTACAACCACAATGTAGCCCAACATTTCTGCTGCTAAGCGAAACATTTGTTAAGTGAATTTTACCCCATTTTATGACCTTCCTTGCCACAGTTGTTAAGTGAATCGCTGCAGTTGTTAAGTTAGTACAGGTAGTCCTCAACTTATGCCAGGCTCAGTCACTGTGTTGCAATTCAAGGATTGAACAAGGTACCCAAGATGGCTCTTTAAAGACTTGAACACTGGGCCCCATCTAACAAAATGAAATTTAATGTAGAGAAAAGTAAAGTCTTACACTTAGGCAAGAAAAACCAAAAAGACACATATAGAGTGGGTGAAACCAGGCTTAATAGCAGTAACTGTGAGAGGGATTTTGGAGTCTTAGCGGACAAGCAGCTAAATATGAGCCAGCAGTGTGTGGTGGTGGCCAAAAAAGCCAATGCAATCCTAAAATGCATTAACAGAGGGATACAATCAAGTTCAATTGAAGTACCCAATACCACTCTATAAAGCCCTAGTAAGACTACACCTAGAATACTGCATTCAGTTTTGGTCACCCCACTATAAAAAAGATGTTGAGACTCTAGAAGAAGTGCAGAGAAGAGCAAGAAAGATGATTAGGGGACCGGAGGATAAAACATATGATGAACGGTTGCAGGAACTAAGCATGGCTAGTCTAGTGAAGAGAAGGACCAGGGGAGACAGGATAGCAGTCTTCCAATATTTGAGGGACTGCCACAGAGAGGAGGAAGAAGGGTAAGCTATTTTCCAAACCACCTGAAGGCCAGAAGAAGGAATAATGGATGGAAATTGATCAAGGAGAGATTCAACCTAGAAATAAGGAGAAATTTGCTGACAGTGAGAACAATCAACCAATTGAACAGAAGTTGCCTTCGGAAGTTGTGGGAGCTTCATCACTGGAAGCTTTCAAGAAGAGACTGGACTGCCATCTGTCAGAAATGGTGTAGGGCAGGGGTGTCCAACCTTGGCAACTTTAAGACCTGTGGACCTCCACTCCCACTTCAATTCTGGGAATTGAAGTCCACAGGTCTTAAAGTTGCCAAGGTTGGAAACCCCTGGTGTAGAGTCTCCCGGGGGGTTGGACTAGATGACCTACAAGGTCCCTTCCAACCTGTCATAAAATCCATCAATTGCTTAAATCCCCTGACCCAAATTCAAACAATGCGACATTTGCAAAATGATTCTAAAATAATGTGTTGAAAGAACGAGAATGAGGAAATCTGTTTGTGTCTTTATGATGCTTGCCTAGGTTGGGCAACTTATTGCTGTTGTCCAGTAAACATGTTTGCTCACGCAAGTCCTCTAAGTTAACATGGTGGGACCACATCTTTCTTAATAAATAAGGAAAGAATATTTTTTTTATCACTTATTCGTTGTCCTTGAATTTGAAGGAACCGAAAAACCTTTGAACTTTTTTTCCCCTACAAAAAAGAGAAAGAGGAAGTAAAGTTCTCACTGTGTGATTTTTTTGCATTTTTTGTTAAGAACGAGTTGATTGAGAAAGCTGTGCCAAATCTTTGTTTTAGCCTTCATTTGTCTTTCTCTTCTCTGTGGCAAATTAACTCTAAAGAAAGATAGCAGAGTCCTTTTCCTATAACAAAACCCATTTCTAAAAAGAGCTAAAAACTAAAAAAAAAATTAAGATTCTCTGGAATTATGTAGAAAAATAGAATATTTCATTGTAAGTGAATTGCGAGGTAAATATTACAGTATTGCTTTTGCTCAGGATTGGGATGTGCAGTGGATTGGGCCATATTCTTATATCAGGCAAGGTAATTTCAATCAAAATTTCATTTTTCCAAGGCAGAAAGGATAGACTGAATCTAATCAATTTATATGCTGGATCTAATGTCCAGAGAAACACTCTGCTGGACAGTTTCTCTGGACATTAGAGCTCTGCCAAATGAGGCAAACATAAATCCAATAAAAGGTTTATTCTA